GATTAAATCATCGACTTCTAGGAGCAGCAGACTGGATTTTCAACCTAATGCTGCCATCGAAACAAGAGGCTGCAATGTTTCACAAGAGCCACTTTACTTGGAGCAAAACTGGGTTGATTTGTTGGGTCAAAACAATCAAAACATCACCTACAAAACAGAAGTGGTATTGACTATTCCAATTTAAAGTAATTGAGCAAAGAAATAGTCCGCTGGTGCTCTTAATGCACTCGTCTGCACAAAGTCAGTGCCACTTAAGTATTTTGTGAGCTCTAGTTAACTGTACCTGGAGTGGCGTAAGCTGTCCTTCTTGTTTTTAACGTTGCAGAGCGTGCACTCACAGCCAACAGCGTGAGGCCGGGGGAGAGAGATGTCCTGCTTGAGCAGCATGGTCAGGATCTCGTAGTTGTTCCTGTGGGCTGCCAGGATGACTGGAGCCACATCCATGGTGGTGGAATACTCTGGATTCTGGATGCGCTGCATCAGTTTCTGACAAGAGCATGGATTAAAAAAAAAAATACTGTAAGTGAATTATAGAAATTGATAAGCAAGTTTTTGCCTTAATGGTGTTTCTTTTCTTGAAAACGAGTAATAACAGCAGACTTACAGCAATAGAGGGCTTAGAAGATCTCCTTGGCCTGTGGTTAAGGAGAATGTCCACGGCTCCTACCACCTCTGAGTCTATGGCCACCAGCAAAGCGTCTGTTGCCTACACAGAAAGAAATGCACAATTTTAGTGATGTAAATGATGTCTTGTGTATATTATTTTACCCCTAGTCTGTGCTTGCTTGTTACCTGGCAGCCATACTCCAAGAGCAGCTGAAGGATGTCCAGATTCTCGTTCTCGATGGCGATGGTCACTGCATCTCGGCCCAGCACGTCCACACTGTTGATGTTGAGCTCGCCGTGTCTGTTCTCCTCCAGCAGTTTCTTCACCATGTAGTAGTCACCTGAGAAGCAAGTCAAGGACAAAGCAGCACATCATAAATGTGATCCACCTTGGCAAGTTCTCACAAAGGCGGATCCTTTGAAGAAGCGAAACATTAGTGTGAGCGCGGTGCCAAAACGACACAAACACACAGCGCCGGTTATCAGGCGAGCTCTTTCAGAGAACAGGCTCAGATCCAGCGGCAACCCTTAATCTTGTGTAACAATAACATCTCCCTCAAAGGACAATTTCTGTTGCTGGGCCACGTTTAGGGAGACTTTATATGGTCACAGTGGCAGTTATTGGCTTAGCACACTTCTGCCTGTACAATGTTCTTAACTTATCAATGAAATATTCTCACGCCACGGGGACTAGTTGAGAAAACCCATGCCTCTTTGTTATTTTACACTTACACTGTCTACGTCTTGCCTTGCTGGCATTTAGCTTGTTTGCATTAACTTTCCATGTTGGGGTTTGTGAAAAGTCAGGAGACCAGGGAGAGAAACTTAAAGTGGAGCAGACATTTAACTATTAACTGCCCCTTGGGCAAATTACCACAGTATCCAAAGTGTGGGCAGCTGTGAGTGGCATACACTGGAGTGGGGGGATCTGTAATGATTGAGTAGTTTGCCAGCTGCTAAATGAGCCTGGATGACATCTGCCATGCTGTCACTGCGTGTGCGCTCTACCTCCTACATGAGACATGTAGCTTCAGCATCCCTAATGATCACAATAACGAGCTTCCTTCAGCTCGTAGTCACGTGTTGCACGGACATCCCATTGCATTGCAAACAGGGAACAACAGCCCAGATATTAAATTAGACGAAACAAGAGCCAAACCTTTCTCGCATGCCAGGAGGAAGAGTTTCTCGTCCAGAGTCGTCTCCTCTTTCACTTCTCTCACGTCTTTCAAGGCCAGGAATTTGTCCGGAGAGGAAGCGTCCGTGCCATGGTACAGAGCTGCCATTACGACGGAGAGCGAGTACGGCAAGACGCTGATGTGCATCCCACTAGAAACCGACGACCATTACACGAGAAATCCCGTCATATGCGATGACATGCGAAGAATGCTTCTGTAGTTGCGCAGCAGAGGTTTAAAGCGGCCGACTTAAACCAGTGCCAGTAATCGCTGGCATTACCGTCCCAGCTCCGGTGCGTTCGCTTTTTCCCTTTTTTCGGGGTTAAAATATCGCCTATTGTAGCCCTTTTCGCACCATCGATCTCAAACGTGGGGTTAAAAAGTGTTCACGGCGACGGCAAGTAGACGAAACAACGCGGTCATTTCTCGCGGCGTGTTTACAAGCACCATCTTCTCACTTGCATCGCAGTGGTCCTGATGCTGCTGGCGAGGTTTGCACTGCGCATGTTTCCTCCTCCACCTGCTTGATCGTTTCGCAGGCGCAAAGCCGTGATTACGTAACAGTGCATCTTTGCCGTGTACAGTACACTGTGTAAATTCACAGCGTGTGAGCGTTCACTGTGACAGTGCATGCACACGTGCTGACTCTGAAGCATGAACTACACACATACAGTATGCTAAGCGGTAAAGACTGGGAGATAAACAGAAATCAGCAATGGCTGTGGCTCCTGCTCAGGTCACTTCCTGCAGTAATGTGAAAGTCCTGATGGAAATGCTGTGTTGGGACATGCATGGGTGACATTCAGTGCACATGGATATGGATATGGCGGCATATGGGCTCATATAATCCGTGACAGACTGTTAGGAAATACATCTGGTATCCTGATTCAGTGAAATCTCTTTATAATTATGCTGAAATGTAAACGTGTCTGTGTTTAAAGCACCTTATGTCAGCTTCTGTTGTTTAAATGTTCTATAACCTATAGATGAAGTAAACAGTGATAACAAAAAAAAAACCTTTTTCATAGTGGATTTCTTGGATATACGTTTTATTTCCAAAAAAGTATTTAACACAGTGATAGATAGAAACAAAGTCATATCGCACTAGTATCTGATACTATCAGTTTTCGAGACTTTTGCTATTGGAATCAATCCACCCACTTTTAACAACCTGCAAAGAATATTGCTAAAAAATGCTGCGACCAGTGAAGGAAAGGGTTTAATATGGACTGGAATACAGTTTTAGGGAACATGTACTTCATTCAGTTCAAGTGAAATCAAAAGAAAACACAAAATGTAACAAGCCTTCACATCCAACTCAATAAGCCATAATGAAGTGACAGTGAGTCAGCATGCTTAGTGATAAAGCACTGATAATTAATGGTCTGCTCTCATGCAGGCCGAGTTAAGACCGAGATTATTATTATTACGTTTTAAATCAGATGTCATTAAAGACGACCTTTGGTTTTTCTATAATTGTAACACAGTTGGCTTCTAAAATGTAGAAAGGTCTTTGTTTCTTTCTTTTTTAAGTAAGAAATTTGTGAATATTGAATATCGGCTTGCAAATCATCACCACACACATTTCTGATGATGTGAGACAAATATATTACTTTACTCACCACGCTCAGCACTTCCACTGCCAAACAGAACAAATACCATGCACTGAAACAGAAGTAATTTCCTGGGCGGGTTTCTGTCACAGTGTGAATACATGTTGAAAATAGGGCGGGGAGGAAAACGTGCACTTATTATTCTCTTCACTATTTGACTTGATACAAGAAAAACACATTCAATGACGGGCTCTTTGCTTTCCAACAGCACCGAATCCTAATATAGCTTTTGTTTTATGTTTTATAAACATCTGTAAAATGCAGGTGGAATGAAGCGGTTGCACAGAAAGGTTTCATATTAAAAACAAGCTTCCTTATAAAAGAATAAGATTAAAATATTTTTCTTAAACTAAGCTCTATTATCTATATGCTTGCACACTGAAAAACGAATAGAAATTATTATGTCATATGTATGATTAATATATTTGTTCATGATGTGGAAGTCTGCTCTTCGTTTTGAAGGGTGGGACCTCAATGCTCCAGCAGAGGGCAGTCTGCACAAAGGTATTTCGCTGTAGACACCCGCATTGGCTGAGAACAAAAATAAAAATGAAGATATATTGAAAGCACACGTTACCGAGAACAGGAAGGAAATACTGTATAGCCAACACAAAGCCTAATATGTCGCACTTCAGAAGGACTCACACCACGCACAGCATCTGAGCAGGGCTTGATGAGAAACAGTATAGTAAAATCACAACGTGGATATTACCCTACATATTTAGAGGTTCCTCGCTGGGGAGGGTCAAGGGACTCGAGCGGTTTCAATTCATTCAGTCTATGCTCTCCCCACCCCGCTTGTTCAAGGTTGTAATCCCGCACAGGCAAGCCTCTTAGGAAAGATGATTTTCAATCTGCAGAGCATGTGTTTCCCTTCATACAACATCATGGCCTTTCCAGTTCCTGGGGAACAGCTGTCAAATGTCCCATTTCAGCTGATTCCACTTGAGAGGAGTGCTTGTCACTGCCGCTGAGTGTTTCTATCACGTCCAATGAAAAATTATTACATCCTCTACAATCATGCTGTAGGCCATCACTCTCAGATCAGTTTAAAATTCAAGAGTTTCTATTTTTGAAAAATTAGATTCGGTGGTATGTGCATAGCTCTTTTGTAATGAAACAGGGTTTTTCTTTGCTGCTTTTAAGACAAACCCCAGGCTACCCTCTTGTGGCTGTCGTGAGGGGGGGCTAATACATTTAATCTGAAATATTGATTCTCTCTTGCAGTCACACACGATGAGGAGGACGTGCGTAAAAGGAAAAGTAAAGGCCGGCTTTGGAATACAATCACGGCCTTAACACTTTTATTAAAGAAATAGTAAAAATAGGTTGTATATTGAAAAAACGGAACAAAAAACAAAACAGAAAACTGCTAATCGCTTTTAGATGTGTACAAACGAGAGGCTAGAGTACGGTTCAGACAATGTGAGGTGGACTTCACCTAAACATAACAACAGCACCACCACCATCCATCCCCCATGCCCTCCTCATCTAACGTTGCTGTGATCTGTCGGAGCCACCATTAACGTGACAGGCTCGCAGCAGGTCCAATGACGTAAGCTGGCTGACGAGCGTCGACTCGTCGCGCTCCAATGCGCTCTCTCGGAGGGCGGGTCTTGGTCCTGCTATTCAGATTGAATCGGCCCAGTTTGTATTAGTTGGACGAGCAGAAGAACGAGACGGAGAAACGTGTAAGAGCCCTAACTGCGGATAAAAGCGTTTCTCTGCTCCATCATGGCAGCTGCGGAGTAATTTAGAGGATCCGGCCCGTCGCGCGGAATCGTGACCGACGCCCGAATCCACCGCATTTCTGAGGATGTTCCAGCTGGTAACTGCGCGAGGATGCTTCCGCTGAACGTGCTCAAACTGGGCGTCTGTTACAATGCTGAAGGCTTCTTGGTTTTTGTTTTGAACGCGGGCCAAACACAGAATCACTGCAAAGCCTGATATGGACAACTTTAACGCTCCTCTCTTCTGCCATTTCTATGACGAACATTGCGCAGTGCAGTGAAAAAGCTATATCGTTTAGTGGCTGTCGAACTGGTGCCGAATACATTACCTAATTCATCTGGGTGTTAATTCCCGGTGCAGCCCATAAACACACTACCGAGCGTGTTGGTGCACAGTCAATGTAAGGAGCTTCGTCCAGCGGTGAGAGCCACTCTCCGAGGGTACAGATGCGAGGCAAACAATATCATCAACCACTGAAGTTGACAGCGCCTTGGGAGAAGGATGCAGGCTTTGGAAGGAAGCTTAAAACATACAGGAATCATACCAAGATAATAGCACAGCCTGGGATCGTGATGAAAGTGCTACGCAGGAAGAGGATTGTGTTATTTATGGCCTATTTGTTACTGCTCGTGCTCACTATGCTTAACTTGGCTAATTATAAATGGACTAAGGAGCCGCAGCAGTGTAATCATCAGATGAGGAGCACCACTTATCAGAGCAGATCTGACATTCGCTTCCTGTACAGACCCTCGCTGGCTAAGAAGAGGCAGCTTATCTATGTGCTGACCACCTGGAGGTCAGGCTCTTCCTTTTTTGGGGAGCTGTTTAATCAAAATGCAGATGTGTTCTTCTTGTATGAGCCAATGTGGCACATCTGGCAGAAACTGTACCCCGGTGATGCCGTGTCATTGCAAGGGGCGGCCAGGGACATGCTTAGCTCCTTATACCGCTGTGATCTGTCTGTTTTCCAACTTTACAACAGCCCGGGAGGTAAGAATTTCACCTCCCTCGGACTGTTTGGGGCCACCCTCAATAAAGTGGTGTGCTCATATCCCCTCTGCTCAGCCTATAGGAAGGAGGTGGTGGGGATGGTGGATGATAAGGTGTGTAAAAAGTGTCCCCCTCAAAGCCTTAGACTGTTGGAGGAAGAGTGCCTGAAATATAGCACCATAGTCATTAAAGGGGTCCGCATATTGGATGTAAATGTGCTGGCCCCGCTCATGGAGGATCCGTCCTTGGATTTGAAGGTGATACACTTGGTTAGAGACCCACGGGCAGTAGCCAACTCCAGGATCAAATCCAGACACGGCCTGATACGGGAGAATTTACAGGTGGTCCGCAGCAGAGACCCCAAACTTCGGCGGATACCTTTCGTGGACCCCGGGCACAAAGCTAACAAGAAGGATGGCTCAGACTACCACTCCATTGGAGCCATGGAGGTGATCTGCGACCGTACCTCCAGGACTTTGAGGACTGCCTTAAATCCACCCAGCTGGCTGAAGGGGAAGTACATGGCCGTACGTTACGAAGACCTGGTCGAAAACCCAGTTAAGACCCTGAGGAGCGTCTACCGCTTTGCCAACCTCACTACCAACCATGACATTGAGATGTTTGCTTTGAACATGACCAGTGGCTCCAGTTCCTCATCTAAGCCATTTATAGTCTCCTCCAGGAATGCCACACAAGCTGCAAGTGCATGGAGAACAGTGCTCAGCATCCAACAGATCAAACAAGTGGAAGACTACTGCCACCACTCCATGTCAGTTCTAGGTTACGAGAGAGTGAGAACAGCCGGGGAGGCCAAGGACTTGAGCAAATCACTACTGACACACTCCAGACTGTGAAAACATCCTCACCACCAAAGACCATTTAATTTAATGTTAATTTTGCATAGAGTGCCATTTCCTTATTTTGTGGAAATAAAGCTTTACTTTAAGTCCATGTTCCTGGATCTACATCGGCCGCATTTGGAATGTACCGTCAGTCGAGCAATTGCAGCTCCGTTGAAAAGGACCACTTCTTTTTTACCGGAACACCAGACGGGACCTTAGACCTCGACACTGCAACGTCTAAGAACAATTGACTCAAAGCTGCAACTTTCAGAGGAAAAAAAAAAAGGAAAAAGAAGCTACTGTATAATTCATGTATCTTGTTATGATGACACTTCAAAGTGGATGTTTTGGGGATATTTTTTGAATGTTCAAAAGAAAAAAAATCTGTTTTCCAGTCTTCATACTGTCTGTAAAAGTGAAACTAGTTAAAGGAAGGGTTAAAAAATCCAACTGATTAAAAAAGAAGAAAAAAAGAAGTTGACTGCTAATGTTAATATTTGAGACGTGTCAGAGACAATCACTGGATTGGATTCTTGTGCCATAGGTAGAGGTGTGATCAGAACAGCAGTAGTGCTACGGCTAGATTTTACAAAAAGGGGGATGTTTTGATTTGGGTTTTTCTTACATTTTATTATTATTATTATTTTTTGTCGTCACATCCTGACAGGATGATATCATACACTGTGGACAATGTCATAGCTCCAGATTTGGAAAAGTCTCTCTGTTGGTGTCAGCAGTCTGCTTGTTCTACCATTTCCAATGTTTACAATTGCTTGCTCTTATAAAAAAAAACACATCTGGGAATATTGCATTGAGTAAAGTTCATAGTTAACAATACAGTTTATGCATTTGTGTTGAACTCAGTTATTTTAACGCCTACTTGGGGGGGGGGAGTGGAAGTGGTTCACAAAATTGGCTGCAGGGAACAACCTGGAAGTTAGCACACCAAAATAAGATGAAGGGTTTAATGCAGAATTGAATGATTCGGTTAAATTCAATGCAGTTTTATTTATTTAGCACCAAATCACAACAGCATTCTCCTCAAGGTGGTTTTATTGTAAGGTAAAGACCCAACAATCAAACGACCCTATATGAACAAACACTTAGAGACCGTGGGAAGGAAAAACACCTTTTAATAGGAAGAAACCTGAAGCAGAATAATAATAAATGTGCTACGTTTATTTTAATTTACAATCAGGATGTATAACAAATTTTGTCTTGAATGAATAAGCTTTATCAAAACTTTATTCAGTGCACACCTTTTGTCACTGTTTGAGAACCACTGTGCTGGAGAGGTGTCATATATTTGTTGCTATTTGCTACATAACCTAAAGGTGCCCTGTGGAGGTTTCTGGCAAGCAAACTGTTTACATTCGGTGTTGCTCACCAGCATGAAGTGTGTGTGTGCGCGCGTGTGTGTGTATATATATATATCTGTCAGACAGGGTGGAAACAACTGCAAGCCACATTTGAAAAGTTATAAACCGAGTCTGTGTACTTCTCTATTGGTTTAGATTTCCTGCTTTGTTTAGGTTTTTCCTTTTTTGGCAAACTAATGCTAGTAAAGCCTGACGTAAAACAACTACTGAGTAGTACTTAAAACTCCACACGGTATCTTTAAGTGCATGGCTGAAAAACGTTAGTCACAATAGCTGGGGATATTTTAATAGCTGGGTGGAAGAAGTAATTACAGTTACTGTCAACTTCAATTCTGTTGACAACAGCACCTTAGCAAAATTTCCCATTTCAACAGTCACCTGTAAAAGTAACATCCAAACACATTCATTGTGCTAAATGTCTTTTTACACACCTGACTGTAGTTTCAGCCTTTTGCTCGGGATGCAAAAACGTCTAAAAATTGTACTTGAAAGCTCAGTGGCCGGCGACTCCCACAACAACGACAAAGGAGACTTGAGAGAAGCTTCTTCCTCCCATGCGGAAGTAGATCCTGGTGAACATTGAAATTGGATTTACGTACCGTATGGAAACTGACATGTAAAACAAAGTTTGCATCACCTTGAAATGCAAAAGAAGCTTTCTGCATCAAACGGATATGCAACAGAAGCCAACAGATTGTGTTATATAACAGTGATGTGTTGCTTCAAATATTAGCAAATAATAATAATAATGGATTGCATTTATATAGCGCTTTTCGGGGCCCTCAAAGCGCTGTACAATTCCACTATTCATTCACTGTCACATTCACACACTGGTGGAGGCAAGCTACAGTTGTAGCCACAGCTGCCCTGGGGCAGACTGACAGAAACGAGGCTGCCATATCGCGCCAAATGACATAAAAACTAGCAATTGTGTTTCAGAAAGTATTTGTTTACTTTGATAGTAAGCTGCAGCTTTAAGAAACAGGCCTAATAATGGTGGAAAGCTGTTAATCATCATCTCTTGCTTGGAAAAAGCTCAGAAATTTAAATTTGAGTGCATACAAAGAGGAACGCAATGTATACTTTAACAGACACATTCCAGAGACGCGCCCATGCATTCACAACATAAAACGAAAAGCCCCCGCTTCAAGGACAATGGCTTTATTAATACACGGCGAACCATCTGCATATTCGTACAGCCTAACCTTCACAAATCGTATTTGTGCAGTAAACAACACCCCTGTTTGACTCAAGGGGGAAAAAGATGGGGCCCTGAGATTTACAGTGATGCACATAGAAAGCAGCAAAGTGCAATCTTTAATTAAAGCAGTTGGAGCGAAACTTCACATGCAAATAATCTTTTTTCCCCCCCTGAAAGCTGTTAGTACTTTTAACCATTTGGATACATTCTTGCACAGCAAAGAATGCTAAGGAAGACATGGAGGGAGATGGGGTGGTGGGGGTGGTAATAAATTTAGCAGAATACATTTGAATCAGTTAAAAGGATTGCAGCAGAAAACAGTGCAATAAAAGTTTAATAAGGGGCTGGGGAAGAGCTAAGCAAAGTTGGCAAGAAAATACCATTTCAGCTGATTAAGGGAAATACTGCAGTGTTCAATCACAGAGTACAGTGATGAGTAATTCTCCCTAAAGCTTGAAACTCGGGCATTACGTAACCGTGTATCATGTAGCTGCCGCACTTATAATGAATCTGTGACTTAACATATTACCTTTATTTATTTTTATGACTGCTTTATGACAAAGGTGAAAGGCACACTTAACATTTCTATTTCAGTTTCTAACTTCCCCAGTTTGAGACAAGGAAATCATCAGCGTTGCAACAGGAAGAGCGGTGGCCTTTGTAATTGTTTTTCTCCCTTCCTGTGTGACTGTGTGTCTTTGCGTGCATTTCAGCACAGGGGGAGTGCATGACCTTTTGGGAACCATTGAAACTCTAACTCTCAGTCAGCTGTTGGCAGATGTCCTGACCAGTGACCTCCATTCACTGTGGGAGGTGGGGGTTTTGACATCAGGGAGCAATAGCTGATAAGACGAGGTTAGAGCTGAGTACTGGAGCCGCTTGCCTCCCTCGGTTGAGCTGGAGCAGTGCCGAGGCCCAGATCTCCGTCCAGCAGGTCCTCTTGGTGCTCGGATGCAGAATCGCTTTCGGACGATCCCTGCTGGCTCTCCGTTTCCCCCAAATCCAGGGTGTTTTTTCCTGCTTCTATCTCACACAGCTCTTCTTCTTCATCATCCTGAAATGTGAGTGGCAAATAACTCATATGTTCCTCAATATTTCTGGCATGTTGTAAACACAGAAAAAAAGTCTTACCTCCTGCACACGGGGGCTACTGAAGACTCTGGCAAATACACCACAACACTGTGGCAGTGACTCAGTCAGCGGGGGGCCACAATGAGTCAGCATTGGCTTTAGATATCTGTGACATTGTTAAAGGACTGTTCAAAACGTGTGTACGTGTCAGTGACTGTAAACACAAGATAAGGTGAAATGGTCGGTTGTAGTCTAGCCTGTCCTCCAGCTCCACAGTCATAACAATAATAGCTAACAACACTAAAGCACATATCAGATTTTATATATATATATATATATATATATATATATATATATATATTTGAAAGAATGAGTAGGACAGTAACCAGATACGGTGTTTTACCTGTGCAGGATAAAAGGTCAGGGAATTTACATGTTACTGGTGTTGCACTCCAGTAAAGCGTTAACTGGTATGGTCTGTTTCCTATTTTAGCAGCTGATGCTCGAGGGAAAGCCCAACTCTTTGTTAGAAAGAAGTGGTTAAAGTGAATCACTACAGTTTATCATAAACATAATCACTGAGCGTGTGACTGCAAATTGTTTTAGATCTAAGCCATCAGACTCCCAGTTGTTTATATATGAAGACAGAAATGAGAGATGCAAATCTAAAAGTGTAATAAATCATAGTCCCCTTGTGCTCAAAGCAATAAAAAAAACATTATGAAAGTGTATTATTTCCCTTATGAGGTCACTGTCAGCTTACTGGCATTCAGTGCAGTTGGCCTTCCGTTTTGAAGATGGCACACTGCAGAGAGCTGGGATATTAGTCATTCAAGCTTTAGGTACTTGAGCTATTTTTGTTCCAGATTCTTAAGCTGTTAGCATATTTAATATACATAGCTTTTGTCAGCTGAGTTGTTGTCTTAAGGAATAAAAGCTCCCATGCAACACAGAGAGATTTTCCAGGAGGGGATGTTGCATGAGAGCCAAAATCGAGATAAAAATAATTTGCTCAAGAAAAAAAAAAAGGAAAGGTAGCAAATGGGTCGTTATCTAGTTTCAGCAAACTGGGTCAGCCTTGCATTTGATTGAAACTAGAGGCAAGGTCACGAATGCCTTATAAATGTGATAAAGTGCAGATATGTGCATTTTGATTTTCGATCAGCATTGAGAGGAGACGGTGGAAGCAAAGCGGTGCAGGTGGCAGGTGGTTACTAAACAATAACAGTGGCATATTTATAAGCTCTGGTCTGAAAAGTGGAGGTGAGTATGTTTGTGACATTTCGGAGCCCCCTGCTAGCATCTAATTTATAATCACCTTTCTGCAAGGGGTCATACTTTCCTCAATTTTTGCTTTGGAGGGGAAAAAAAACAACAAAAAAAACGGACAAATTCCTATTTTACCAGTGCCATCAGTGTCAACCTTTGTACCTCACTGCCTTTTATGAGTAATGTGGGACTAATGTGGCACACAAGTGCACAGTCCTCTGGCATGCGTACAAAAGAACAAGGGTAAGTGGAAAATAATCTAATATGGAAATTGGTACCAGCTCTCACCATTCAGGTTCTGTTGTTGAAAATGTGCAAGAGGTTGGAATTATAAGCACCATTCTGGCAGCTAACAGGATTTATTCATAAAATGTCTCAAATGAGAAACAAGGGGAAAAGGGGGGAGGGGTCTAAGGAGGGAGAAAAGGAGAGAATAATGTCTTCCTTGGGATGTGCCTGAGTGAGTTGTCTTCCTGTTGGCACTGCGTCCTCCTGTTCCATGCTGGCATGATACTCGACAGTGATGGTAATTATAACTGCTGGTTCTGCTTTCTGCTACACAATGGTGTCAGATTATATGTGTGTGCGTGTGTGTGTGTGAAAAGATGCTGAGTAGTTATGTGGGGGTAGAAGACCAACTGCTGCTTCAGCCACCATCACAGCAAGCACAAGTCCCACGCTGCACAACCCGCAGGTAACCTTTTACTGACCTTTCATGAGTTAGGGCAAGTATTAGAGTTATAATACATGTGATCAGCTACTAGAGTTCAGAAACTACAAAGCAGGTTAGTGTGGTTTGGTTAAACGCTTGCTGCTTTTCAGGGGCTTCATGAAATCTTTTCATGCTATGTTTGCCAGGAAACCAACACAGATTTCAGCAAGTCATTCTAAGAAATGGTCTAGAACATAGCACGCAAAACGTCTCCAACAACAACACACTGTTTTTATCTAACGTAAGTTACTTATGCTATTTAAGAAATTGGTTGTAAATAGCCTGTTTATAACTTGTGTGACAAACTTTCCCATTGTTTTACCAGTATTTTAACATTTAAGCAAACGCTGTAGTCGGAAATGTCCAATACAAGCGCTGTTACAGGCAGCCTTAATGATTACACATGAAATGCGAATCAATTAATAAACAAAAACGTCCAGTGGTACAACTAGTGAGGAAACAAGAAAACAGACAGAAGTTGCAGTTACCCTAACTCATCACACTCTCAACACCAATGCACAGTATTCTGATAAAACTTTGTAGGGGTGAAGAGTGGGGTCCAGTTAACAATCCATTAAAATTTCATGTACATCCATTTCATGTACATCCACCAAGTACTTCAAAGCCCACTTATTTATTTATTTATTTATTTATTCATTCATTCATAGGTAGAAAAATGACAAAAAGGCTTATAAATTAGGAAGTATCTCACAAGTGTGGTGTGTACTGTAGACATAGAAATACTGTATAAAAATGTAAAATATCATGTCACATTTAACCTCTGACCTCGATCTGAATTCCAAAGTGATGATAATGTTATATAGAGCTATTTAAAACTATGTTTCTTACCACCATTGTTTGCATTGAGAACATATAGGCATATAGGGAATTCAATATGTGTATTACTTTGGACCTCTGACCTCTTCTTCAAGGTCAAATAGGGTCAAGCTGTCATGAAAAGTTTTTTATTTTTGTTTTATCTTTAAAGAAAATATTGTCAAGAGAAAGAGGATGAGCTGCCTTGGCAGTTTGTGCTTTGTGTTTTTTCTTTTTAAACTGAGTTGATAACATATCCCTAAGTTTATCTGTCAGTGTCTCATCCAGCCTGGAAGAGATAACTTTGTTAGACAGCAGCATCTACAACAGAGAGTACAAAAGCACACAGGAGTGTGAAACGTCAAAATATACCTTACTGACAGTACAATTACTGTACATTTGTAGCTCAGAGGACTGAGTTGAATTGGCCTCCTTCATTAAAGGCCATGAGATGCATGGCCTTTTGTTAGCCCCTTCCACTGATACACCCACTGTTCTCAGTACTGCTTATTCTCCTAAAGACATGGGAATTTCCATGGTTGCAGACTTTGATTGCATTGAATAATGAATATGTATACACTTCTTACATAACATCAAAATGTAAGGAGGAGATATTTACAGTGGGTGCCACTATGCTCTACTTGGTGCTTCTTTGTTGTATGGTATTGTTTAGCCTTGTAATGCTAAAAATATGGGTAACATGCCTAGACTTGATTTTCAAGCCACAGAACACCCATGTAATTAACGGCATTGTACTTCTTTAACACGGGAGAAGACATGGGTGGCTTCTGGGATTCCAGATCCAAAACAAAAACGTGGTTGCTGGGCTAACGCCACAGTATGCAAACCAATTCAGCTGGAAAGATCAAACAGGCTTTGATGTCCCCCAGAATGAGTGCTTGTCCTTATGAACCCTAAAGCCAGGCTGACGGGGAAACAGTTAAGGAAGCAGCAGTGTGCCTCAATGATGCAGATGGTGAGCCAAGTTGAGGCTCAATTACCTGGCAGCAGGATTCCGGCTGAGGCTCCTCTCACCTGGTCCACTTCAAAGCACCTTCAGAATATGTTTTTCCTCCTCATCAATAGGATACATTGGTCGGGCCTTTCATCCTGCTTCTCTCATCTCCTCTTTTCTCGCCCGCTGTCATATTTGCATGCTTTACATGATTCCAAAAACCCATGATATATACACGAGGTCTGGTAAAAACACACAGTCTGTTAAAATGTGCAAGTTAACCCAATATTATAAGCTTTAAATATAGCCATGGCAGGAGTACAGTTCGTGCTGTTTTTTGGCTTTTAATCGTGTGTTGCAACCAGCAGACATATCATACAAATGTTAGCATGCTAGCACATGTAGGGACTGGCTAGCTGGCTCTTTAAAAATAGTGAAGAACAGTCTGTCTGTCACAAGGCTACTGGTGAAGCTATTGCATAAGACAGAGACAGTAGATTACTATTATTTAAAATTTGGTCAGTGAATATAATTCTTTATCAAATTAACCCACTGCTCATTCTCAAGTCAATATTTAACATCTAAATATGTCTCAAACATTTAAATGGAAGCTGCAAAACTAGAAAGAAGAAACCGTTTCACGTAAACAAAACGGAAATATGTCCTAATCAGATCAGAGAATTTCTCAGTACACTCAACCACATCCACCTTGCTTGTGTTTTGTGGTTTAGTAGCCTGAACGCTACATGTATTTGAATTTAATGACAACCTTTACAAACTTTATGGTTTCTAATCTGTCTGAAATATAAACCAATACTGCCTGTTAAAAACAGTTCTCAGAGTAAAATATGTCACAATGAACTCCTTTGAAATGATTTTCCAAGACTAAAACTTAAGACAGACTTATTGAAATGTTAGCAAAAATGACCCCATTTACACTTGTTTACATGAAATGAATTTAGTCAGAGCTCAACCAGTAAAGGAATTTTAAGACCAATACTTGAGGGTTTAAACATCTGCTAAATGTGTGCTGCTGCGAAATTGCATAATTTTTTCAAAATCTGCTGAGCAATCTATGCAAGACCGACAGACAACATGGCTGAAGGGTGTTTCTCGCATCTCTTCTTTAGTTTTTAAATTTTTGTTTATCAGATAAAAAAAAAAGATATGTAATATCATAATATTGATATTACATACTTATACATAAAAATATTGCTGTAATATCAGCAACATTTGATAGATCAGTCAGGACTTCCTACATTGTTAATGTTATCAGTGGCATATGCACAAAGTTTGAGCTCTCTTTTTGGTGATTGAAATTCTAGCATTAGCTCTTTTTCCATAGACTGCAGTATTATATTAATGTGCCTTGCTAACAAAACCTGTTAGCATTAGCTGATAACTTAGCACTCTATCCCCTTATCCAAAAATGATCAGTTTTTCAAAAAAACCCTGGGCAGTATAAAATAATTATTCCCTCTATTATCATGAGGGTTACGTTCCAGGACCCCTGTGATAGGTGAAAAAGCATCAATTAGAAAGCATGTTTATTTTATTATTTTATGTACATCCAAAGGCAGGTGGTGCAGGGTGTTTTACATATAAAGCACCTTAAATGTGAGAATAATGCCTTGATCCATCGGCTGGATCAGCAATGTGGTGTTTGGTGGTAAGAATTTAATTTGTACACCTTCAAACGACAGGTCCCTTTTATTTCAATTTAATATTCTTTTAATATAATTTTAAATAAATATGTGATATTTTCATTTCAATTGTTAGAAAACGGTTATTTTACTGCAAAAATAATTACTAATTTTAGGCCATACATAGTTAAACATGTTTGTTTAATCTAATCTCAGGGTGTAGCTTGTTACTGTTAGCCAATATACAGTTTTACAGTCAGATCTACCCTCTCTCGTCGTATCTGGTTTCAGAACTACACATACCAGCTCTCACTGTTCATGAGTAACATATTTAATACCTCACAGTCTCAGGCTACTGTTTCAATGTGTCTCAAGACGTAACAAGAACACAGACTACACACACACTTTATACTACTTATTTTAATAGTTATGAGCGGACCATGACTTTTCAGGAAAGGAGGGACACAGGGACCTTCCTTTCCTTTTTGATCTCTTTCTGTGAGATCAGTAAAGAAGAGACAAACTTTTGAGAAACATTTATTTCATATTCTTAGATATCCCTATAAAATTTAAATAGATAATTATATAACCCTTTTGAGTGTTTAGGAGTTACTTATGTTATTTATAACTCTTCCTGCTTTAATGTAAGTTACATCAAAGAGAAGAAGGGAAAAAACTCTGTATTAAACTATCAGTCATGTTTGAACACACTCACCCATTCATTGTCATGGGTGCCGGTATAAAAAAATGTATTTAAATATATTTTGCATGCTGCCAAAATAATATTAACCTTGTAGCCTGATTTGTTTCATTATCAAAGGTCAGCTACGTAGCCGGGATAATGCCATTTCTGCACTCTCATTCAATTAAAAAGCACAACCCCCCCAAAAAAACAAACAAAACCTCAGTTACGCATTAAATGACTATTCTTAATGATGATGCCATCAATCCAACATTGCACTGTTTTGCAGAAGAGATAAAGCCCATAAAGTAAGATGATGTGCTCCTTACCAAGCACCAGGTCATGAAGTCATTAGGGAGCAAAATTCAATTAGCTTAAACTTAATGCAATCCTCGTGAAATCTTCCTGCAAAGAGTACAACTGTTTTCCTTCTCCAACTACACTCTCTGCTTACAAGACCATCTTAACACGTTGTTAACACCAACAGAGGCGGCAATAGTTAAGCACTTTGGGAAATAACACATACTATTGTGCAGTTGGGGAGGGAAGTTCAACACCATTCCCACAGAATAAGTTTGCAGCTAGTAAACCCTTAACTTTGTTTAGAATAAAGACTGACAGAGAAGCAAACTGTTTGCTTTGGAAATGGACTTTAGAGGTCCTGGCCAGATTTTGTTATCCTCAGACAGTCACTATAGCTGACTGGCCCTTTATTTATTGTTGCTACAGACAAGAACATCAACCTTTACCAAATGCAAATATATATATTTTCCAGATTGTTGCAAAATAAAATAAAGGTGAACAATGGAGTAAATTTCTGAATGCAACCTGTGAATTTATCTAATAACGGCAAAGGAATGTACAAAATGTATTCTTGCACGGAGCAAAGACTGTGGAGTTTTGGTCCACAGAAATGAATTATAAATAATTTAAATATTAGATTTTAGATATAATATAATATTTGCTGCTTTTCTATCTGGAAAAGGAGTGCATTGTTGGAGTACTCTTTTAATAGTCACGATATTCATAAGACGTGATTGCTGAGAACTGTCACATGAGAGAAGTCACATGGATAATCGTGTTTCAAAGTTGACTTGAAAATGAGGAGCCTCTTAGATAAATGCATCCTAAAGAATCGTTTATATCAGGGAAACTACAATGAGAGCATGTGTGCAAATGGTCCTAATATAGCTGCACAAAGGAGGTCATACACAGTGTATGTTTGCTAGCAGGCCACACACGTTCTTTCTGAACTTTCTGTTTGTCCTGATAGATAAGGGTCTTTCTTCAAAGTCTATGTAATGAAGCACTATTTTTTTCTGATACTCACAGAACAGTAGGGCTCCACAGAGCGCTGCGTTAATTATTGTGAGTGCAAGCAGATGTGAGAGTGCTTTGGAGAAAAAAGCAGTGAAAGGATACTTGTAGTCGAGAGAGTGCCACAGGCCCTGTGTTGTGTCTAGCCTCTCTGTAGCAATCTGTAAACCAGAAGAGAACCAATGTTACTCGCCGACAAACAAAGCCCGTCTGCCGTGGGCTGTATACGGTGCTTGATGGAAATGCCGAAAACCTGCACCTGTGCATGGTCAGCAGGGCCATATCACATGACCACAGCTTGAACAAGAGGGTCAGACCTAATAAAGGGAAAATCCTATTCCCAAAAACTGAACTACCAATAGAGATCCCTCCTCATTACAGTAAGAACAACTGCTCTGGTCTTGCATGCATTCAACTGTTTCCATAAAAAAAGAAATAAAAAAGCTCGTCTCCCCACTGGGATCCTCCTCCAGCTTTACTTGGCCACACTATCTATTTGGCCGCTTGATACCAGAGAGATGCCCAGACCTTGTCCCATTCATAGCGTGCAGATAATCGTCGGTTCAAATAAGAGAGTGAATGGTGAGCTGCTGGGAAGCAGCGATGGCAGGGTGGGTGTATGCACAACAAAAGGCCACACTCAGAGGGCCTCTGTTGTGCTCTGTTCTGGATATTGCGCAGACCATCACTCAAAGCGAAAGCGAAACTGCATTTCCTCTTGAAGTGTTCTTCACTTTAATGCCATGTGGTCTTAAAATAAACAGCAGACCCAAGATTAAAGGCTGGACGCCCATTATGTGTCAGTAGGAGAGGATGGAAGGATATGCTGCAAGTACAATATTTGCAGAAATTATACATATTAGTCAATCCCTATAATGTACAGTTCTCAATATTTAAATAAGAAATAGTGTGAAAGAAGAATGTGTTGACCACAAAACCGCTCGAAGTTTTATAGTCATGTGACTGCCCTCTCTCACATGTTCAGCGAACTGCTGCTTCCAGTGCGACACAATGCGTATGTAGGCAGAATCACTTCTTGTAACACAGTGAAATGTAAGTGACTGTGTGACAGTCAATATTAGAAGCTGTTGGGCCAATACTTGTTTTTTTTGGTGTTGAGCATATTCTTGGAAGCATTATTTTCTTAAGCTTAATGTGCACTCCTGAAACAAATCAGATACATTCGTAAACAGACTGCAATGATGTTCAAGCTTCAGCATGTTAAAGCACACGGAATGACAATTAACTTGCCGTAACCCATCGATAAACAGTGGCACTAATATACAATCCTCTAAATGGGATTGGAGAAGCGATGCCTGCACATCAATGCAAATTGTGCTGAGAAGGATTTAGAAAGCACCGATTAAAAAAAGGATCAATTTGGAATATTTAGCCGAATCCAGTTATTTGACAGTCACATAATATGTGGTGCATAAAGAAGGAAGCTGATAAACATTTCTATTAAAAAAGGCAAAATTTGATCCCAGAAAGAAAAACAAGAGGATGAATAAATATAGTGAATTTAGAAAAAAGATTTATCTATAGTAGAAACAACTGCGCTTACCTCAAAAATGCGGTCCTCCTGGTTTTCATCTGGATCCACCCCCACTCTAGAGTGAATTAAAATAGAAGTACAGTGAAATCCTGACTCACTGTGCAATAATAATAAGAATTTCCAATAAGAAGAAGAATTCTCAGATGCTTTTGCTCTATAAGAATAGAACAAAGGTATTGGAGAAAATCTCCAATCCCGTTTGAATAGTCTAATGCTGCATGCAGCTTAGCAGGGAAGGTGACAGTCAGTCCCGTAACACGGTTTAGTTCTGAACATGACCTTTCAAACAGTTTCATCAAAATCAGCCTCATCTTCCACATCACACTGGGAAAATGTCAGCTGGGTAAACCTTTGATAAATGACAAACAGCGACGCAATTATGCTCGATATCATGCGCGGCTGCTGTTATTATCCTGTCAAGGTGTGTGGACCCCACTTTGCTGCGACAGGGCAGGGAGGAGAGGCCGACTGGCTGCTTGTTCACTCTGAGCTGAAATACAGTGACTCAACAACAGCCCGACACAGTCCCCATGAGCCACTTCGTCTCGCAATGAGAGTGTTATTTCAGAGTGTGTATGCATTTGCTGCTTTTAAGCCTAAAACTGTCAGACTTTCTTAAAGCCAAATGGTGAAAATCTTGATATAACAACCTACCACCTGCAATCATCTACATATATACGACTGCACAAAACAGTGCACCAGCAGCACCATCAGTAGACTGGGGGCTTAAAGAGATGCAGGGAGGGAGATGGCTGTCGATTCTTGTTCCTGCAGGTCAGCAGTTAACTCTAATAGCCTGGCATTACTGCTCGGGACATTTTGAAATAGCCTTCTGTGCATTTGTGTGTGTATGTGTGCTTTTGCTTTTTTTTTTAGTGTGCTATACTAAAGCCTTTTACTAAGAATGCAGTGCAATAACACAAAAGACAGGAGATTCTCATCAGAGCATTACAGCTCTGCGAATGGTTGTACAGATTGTGTCTTGGCAGCCGTTCTTCCATAATCCATCTCTTTGTCAATGTTTGTCTTGACTGTGCTTCAGTTTCTCCCTCTCAGATGACTGCTCATCTTGTTTTTGCTTCTCGAATTTCAGCTTAGTCTTTGTATTTTCTACAGTGCAGTGGAGGCTGCTTTGTGCCTCAGTGTGACACAGATGCTGTGGTTTGAAACTGTCATAAAGAAAAATCTGGACGTGAATGTATTTGTTGTCTCACCTGATATACGCTGGTAGCATATCCTATTACAGATTTTTCTCTCTTTGTCACCTAATAAATCTAAAGGGTCTAATATAACGATAACCTGAGTAAACACAACGTGCAATTTTTAAATGATGATTTCATTTGTCGAGAGAAAGAAACTATCCAAACCTACTTGACCCTATGTGAAAAAAAATAATTGTCCCCTAAATCTAATAACTGGTTATGTTGCTCTTGGCAGCAAGAACTACAATCAAGCATTTGTGATAACTGGCAATGAGTTTTTCACATCACTGTAAAGGAATTTTTGGCCCACTCTTCTTTGCAGAATTGTTTTAATTTGGAGAGTTTTTCGAGCATGAACGGCTTGTTAAGTTCATGCCCAAGCACCTCGATCTGATTTAAATCTTGACTTTATCTATGCCACTCCAAAACCCTTTGAATCCATTCAGAGGTGGACTTGCTGGTGCGTTTCCCAACATTGTCCTGCTGCAAGTGCGCTTGGGCTTCAGGGCACAAACTGATGGCTGGACTCTCCTTCAGGAGTTGCTGGTAGAGAGCTGAATTCGTGGTTGCATCAGTCATACCAACTTGTTCATGTACTGACGCAACAAAGCAGCCCCAAACCATCACACTACCGCTACCATGTTTAACTGTTGGCTTGATGTTGTTTTTATGAAATGTTGTGCTAGTTTTACAGCAGATGTAAAGGGAGTCAAGTTTCTTATCAGTCCACGGAATATTTTTTAAAAAGTCCTTAACTAAGGAAAGTGAGGCTTGCATTTCTTTAGATGCTGTTCTGGGTTCTTTTGTGACCTCCTGGAGGCGTCATCGAGTAATTTGGATAAACCGGCCACTCCTGGGAAGTTTCATCAGTGTTTCAAATTTTCTCCATTTGTGGATAATGTTCTCACTCTGGTACACTGTAATCACAAACCCCTAAATATGAATAATTATTCCTTTGACAGATGTCAATTATTTTCTTTCTGATCTGTTTCTTTAGACTGTGGCTTGATGTGTTGCTATTAGAGATCTTTTAGCTTACATCACTTTGTCACATAGGTGCTATTTAAGTGATTTCTTGATTTAACAGATCTGGGAGTAATCAGGCCTGTGTGTAGCTAGCGAAACTGGCCTCATATGATTAATCACAGCTTCTATCACATCATCAGTTTTTACCTTACATCACTTAACCCCAGCCGTCGTTCTCCTCTTCTTTTTAATGTAACATTTTTCATATTGCTATCATCTCTACCCTTTCTTTCCCCTTTGTCTTCCAACCCCACTTCATCTTCTCTTTGCTAATTTGTCTCCCCTTTTAGCATTTCAATATCCATTTCACTCTCTCAGATCACTCTTCCTCTCATCACCACCTCTCACCTTCTCTCAATCCTCGTTCTTCTTTCTCACCACCATCTCTCTCTCCTCTATTTTCTCACCACCACGTGGATCAATTCTTTCTCTCAACAGGAACAGAAAGGGAACTGAGATCAAATTTGTGCTGAATTATTCTTAAATTCCCTGAGAACTGCTTTTATCATGCAAGGGCTAAAATGGAACAATTTATTTTAGGGCTGTGGAAGAACCTTGTGGATGGGGCAGGCTGTGAGAGGCACATGCAGCCTGCACTGCATGTGACGCATCCCCTTCAGCTGGTGGAATGCATTCTGTGGCGACAGGCTCTGTCGCTGAGCTGAAAGAAAGAGGAAAGGGCAGATATGTTGCAAGGGAAGCGAACGAGAAGAGAAAGCTGCGGGTGTGAGCAAAGAGGAGATGGCGAGTGCAGCAAAAAACAACAACAACAACAACAACAACAAAAAAAGTAGTTTTGAGTTTCTTGAGTATGACGGAAGAATATCTTTGCTGACAGTGTCAGAATGAGTGGATGCTATGTTGGAGAGTGTGTGTGAGAGGCAGGGAGAGTGAGTGAAAGATAGGACAAGACAGCCAGAGACAGACAAAGAGGGAGAGACATAAAAGAGAATGGAAAAACAGTTATGTGGGGCTCTCACTCAATCCCAATGCAAGAACGGAACAAGGAGATAACAAGGCAGTGGGCGTTTGTGAGCCGGTGTCCTTTCACGGCCTTGCTTTTCAAATTGATACGCACCCTGTGCACTGGGATTCAGACAAATCAAGTCCAAACTAACTACCCTGTGACTGTGAGTTCACATGAATAACTCTGTAAATGAATTAAAGTGGACAGCCAGGGGAATGCAGCGGGAGAGAAAAGAAAGCGCAACAGAGGAGGAAACACGTGTAAACTTTGCATAAATTCATATCTACTACAGGAAAATAGGGGCGCAGACGAGAGCTGAGTCATAGATACTTTTGTAATGAGCCTCCACAGGAATATGTGATCCTCCCATGGCCCACTTGTTTCTCCAAATGAGGCAGAGTTACCCCCATTCTGTAAGGAAATCACATCCCATGCAATAAAAGTCAGTCAAAAAGAAATTCACCGAGGAGCAACTCGATCTCCTGCAATCTGGCAAGATTGTAAGACAGAGTTGGTGCTCCTGTTGTGCAAGTCCTCAGCATTGTACAAAATCAGTGGCCTTTTTATGTGCTGATACAATCATGTGTTGCAATAAGCTCCAGTGCTCCTCAAACATCTCTGGACATATTCCAGGATGACACAACACTTTGTACGGGGCCCTTACTTGACGACTCAGCCGGTTCTTTCGGGGAACATTGCTATTAATAACAGCATGTTTTTAGGCCTGAGTTCTTTTATGTAAGAGAATGAACTTCTTTTCTTTACCTTATCTTGCGCAGCCATACATAAAAGCTGGAATTACACAGCAGAAAGCACCCTCGCACACACATAAATATCTCCTTACAAGTTAATACTTCCACTGTGCCTGAGAGAGAAGTGGAAGAGTGAAATAACTTGGCCTTGGGCAATGACGAAGTATGCGGTAGGAATGTGTACGCGCAAATGTATATGTGCCCGCGTCTCCATTGGACTGTTATCACTCTAGCTGACAGTAATGGGCTGATAAAGCTGAGCTCACTGTCTTGCAGGCACACTGAACATGAAGCCCCCTGAGAGACTACAACTGCTTTGCATGTATACCTCATTTATACACTGGGGGGAGTCTACAGGTAGTGTCTCAATGTGTTTGGCGGAGATTTTGCCCCCCAAAAAACGACTTGCAATTGTTTATTAAGGAAAAGAAAATGAGATATAATTGGAAGCTTAAGTTAAGAACAATCAAATAAGCTTCTTTTTAAGTTCAAGAGCTCAAGGATGAAATACTTAGCAGGCAGGGTAAATTAAGTTACAGCACTCCTCCCTTGTGCTGCGCAGGCGATGCACAAGTTCTTTTTTTCACTGCTCCGAGAGAGAGGCAGGGGATAAGGAAATCACGGAAGAAAATCGAAATAGGGAGGGGGCGAGACAAAGACAAAGAGGCAGAATCTCACAGGGACTGTGTTTGCACTATACTGTGAGTATGGACAAGAGGAAAGCTCATCCTTCTAGTTTCCTGTTTGAAAATCCCATTTGGCTGTTCTTCTCACCGGGGACACACTGATATCATATTTGACAGCTCTCAGGAACAGAGCCTGGAACCAAAGCTGACACATACGCGAGGATATTTTCTGGGTTTAAATTCTGCCCCACAGACTTTCCAGCTACAGCAAACACACTTTACCCCCAATCATAACTACAGAGTACTTCCAGAAAACAGAGCACTTTAAATAAAGTATTGAATGTAAGTGTACAGATGCTGTTACATACGCCATATCATATAAAGGCGACTGCAAGCTCAACGGAAGCAAAATACATGTACATGTGTGTATTTGAATAACAAATAATTTATTGCACTACAGTTAATTCATCAGTAAAAGTGAG